TTTTTTTTTCCCCCCCCCCCCCCAACAAGTTTTTAAGTGGAAAAAACATTTTGGTGGATGCAGCTGATGAATTTACAACCTGTACCATTGATGGCTTGTTTGTGTTTTCTTCTGTAAATGTTGATAAAAATATAAACAATAGCAATGCAAAGCTCATTAAATATCGCAACTTTCCAGGAGCCCATTCAAATGTGTGTCTCAAATGGTGTGAAATAAGAACAATTAGCTTCACAAGAGCAAGCTGAAATAAAATATCCGAATACCTTCACACTGAGCCAATGTGGTGAATTGGTTCAATAAAATAAAATGCATTTTAATTTATATTGTACTTTCACAACAGCTGTGGCTGTGACAACACGCTTTCCAGAACATTTAACATAAAACGATAAAACAGCACAACACATGACGTAAAGTCCTCTGTTGTATTCAGGGTTTTAAATTAGCTTTCATGAACATCATCCAATGTGGCTTGTGACTCTCTAAAGTTAGATGACTTCGTTGTTTTCAACCAGTTAGTCAACATTCGAAAGGGCCACACTAAAACCTTGAAAAATCATTATGTTTTGCCTTATTACGTACCTGGCTGTTCCCCCCCCCAAACTATACAGTATACTGTGTATAAAAGCAAATATACTATAACTTCACTTCATCTTTACCAACACTGATGAGTTGCTTTAGTGTTGAATAAAAGATGTCGAAGCAGCTCTCGCCTTCTTTGATTTTTCCATTTGTGACCCTTCAAAAGTTCGGAAGCACCTAGTTTAAATGGAGACGCTAAACGGTTAGTTTTGGATAACTCATATGAACTAGTCTACAAATATATCTCTATTAGCGGTTCACGTTTTTATTGATTTTACGATAAATTTTATCAAAGGGTTCGTTTTAACCAGTGCTGTTACATTTAATCTAAAAGGTATGAATTATTTTGCTTACACGAGAACTTTTTTTTAAGGAGCCGCTACACCGAGGGGCAAACCTGCTGTGTATAAGCACAAAGCAGAGCGATTTGGCAACCCAGTTCAGATAAAAAGCAGGTAAAATATGTGTTTTCTTTTCAACGTGCACGACATACAACCTGACAACCTCGTTTGCGTATCTTATTGGAAGTGTTGCAAAGAGGACAGTTCATACACACGTGTGATTGGGACCGAGAAGCTGAACTCTCGCGCGACGCGGCGAGTTTGCGCACTTTCTTCTTCGTTGGTCTCAGCAATGTTCTTCATCAATGGACGAAGCGGCATCAAAACGACAACCGGAAATTTAACTGAGTACACCAAAATGAATTTCAAACTGCATTTGGCGGCTATTAATTTAGAAGCCAGAAACGCAATTTGTTTTTTTTATAATAATACAAAAATATTTTGTAAAAACATAGTTCAGGTGTAAAATGCTCAAACTTTATTGGCCGCAGGCACAGGAACAAATCAACAATAACGAATATTGTTTTCTTTTTACAACAATCCAACAAGCCCATGAGAAAAATCATTGTAGGTTTACTCTTTCAGCTCAAATATAGAAATATATACATGTTACATTCTCTTCCTGCACATCCCAGTGTTCATTTACCTGCTTGCTAACGCTGCTCAAGAATAACCAAGTCTGTTAGTTTGTGCTGCATTCCATAAAACTGGCAAATCCAAAAAGTCATGTTGGGAAAAGTGCTTTTGAAATTCAAAACATCATCCCGGAATGAGTTAAGTCCCCTTTGGAGCACATAATTTCTCCCACCATTTACGAAGAGACAATATCTATATTTTTTGTATGTGTGTTGCGATGTTTGTCTCGTCGACATTAAAAAACGTAGGATAATTACCAGTTTTTGGTGAATGCAGCATAACTTATTTACGGCCTCTTATTTACATAGCAAGGCTACATCCCCCTGAGTGGAGAGGTTACATCTCTCCTACCTGCTTTTACGGCGACAATAGCATGGAAAAGAAGCATTTAAGGCATTTTTGGGATCACTAAACTACTCTATGAGCAAGGCAAACATAAAAAAACAAGGCAAAGTATGGAAAGCCATTTGAGCATTAATTCGCTATCCTTTCAAACCAGTTTAATCATGTCCATGTCCTAGAAAGCCCTTTGTGCTCACGAGTAGGACAACTTTAGGATACAGTTACCCCCCACTATTCATGGGGGACAGAGCCCAAGGTCTGCCGCAAACAACGGAGATTAGCGAGTAACTCCAAAAAGTTTGTAACTCACAATAGCTGTCACAAAATGGAGGCAAATCACTTTTTTTCTATTGGACAAGGCGCCACAATAAATTTCATGAAGTACATTTTACTCTAATCGAGGAATATTATACTCTGAAAAAGACAATACAGCCAATACAAACAGTCATTCACACTCACAACCACCCTTCGGGACAATATAGTGTGTTCAATTAACCTTTCATGCATGTTTTGGGAATGAGGAAGAAAACCCACACAGGCACAGGGAGAAAACTCCTCACGGACCCTGCACCTCTGCACTGTGAGGTGGACATGCTAAACAGTCGACCACGTGCCGCCTGAGACTAAAATCTTCTGAGTAAATTTTACTTAAAGTAATGGAGTAATTGTTCCCCAATCGATTCAAATCAACTTTAATTTGATGAGAACTTACCCAACGGTTACGTGGCATCAATTTGACATGAATTTGATGATTAACATTGCATTTTAATATCACTTTGATGCTGAATTGACATCAGATGCCCACTGGGAAATTAGTCACCCACATTTTACACTGATGAGCGTGTGGGGTGGTGCCTCATTGTACTCTGAGTGAAGAGATATTGATTCATTCTGAAGATTTATTCCCGCTCTAGTTGATGGGGTAGACCAGTGTACTCTAAAATGTTTACATACAACTCTATTAGAGGGAAAAATGTCACTCTAAAGATGACTCAAAAATTTGACTATGTATGACCTGATTAAATTAAGCTTCTCCCCTCCCTTCAACATTGTTGCTTGGCCCCAACATGCCATGGTTTTATTTAGACATGGTTGTGGCCTAATTACAGTGTTCAAAAATGTTATCTGTAGCCAAACATAAGTAAATAGCTCAACAGTTGTTCCACAAATGCTTCCAGCTTCAGTTATTTTACTCTCGCGCTGTATTGTCCCACTAGTGAGGACAAAGAGCATCTTGGTACATGGACCTACGCTGGTTGTCAGGTATTTTGAATAAATGGCTTTTCTCAGCAAAGAGCTTAAAATAGAAACAAGGCGTAAGAAATCATGGCACATGGCAGGCATCCCTAATGGTGGCACAGTGCGTAAAATGCAGCAGCGCTAACGCCAATTTAAGCTACTTAAATGCATACTTGTCAAAAACACACAGCACACTTACAGTACATTTAAAAATGGTTTCTTAGTAAGGAGGCAAACTGCTGGATCATGGATGATGAGAGGAATAGGACTCAGCCATTTGTTGCCAACTCTTGAACGGAGGTGGCAGCTCTATTGTGGCCGCAAACAAAAGTAGTAAAATCAACAGAAAAAGAAATCAATCTGCTTACTACTTTTTTAAAAAAACACAGTGCTTCTTTGTTGTTTTTCCTATTTACAAGAAAGTGTCCAGTATGTCTATTATTGCTGGACGTACTTTATTTTGTATGTTTGCAAGCAAAAGCAGGCTAATTTCTTGTTCGTGGATGATTAGACAAATGTCACTCTAGCATTTGTAAGTTTGAGTGGAGTGACAGTTCCATTGTCTAAAACATCTAAAAATTGTAGTCTGTTTCGTTCGTTTGCTAGCAAGATAGCAGGCTACTTCCAAACTCATGGCGGTTTAGCAGTTTAGACCAAATTAACTCTACTACTTTGCATCCATTCAAAAATAGTAGAATCCAGTTTGTTGTGTGAATTCATGTACCAGGAATTTGTATGTTAACTCAAAAAATTTAACATACAAATGAACATACGCAGATCAACGTTTTTGTATCTTGACAAAACTGGCTGTCCACCCGCTCCATAATAGTCTAATCAAAAACAGGAAGTAGGACCACCCTACCTACCTACCTAACAAATGTACAAACGCACTATGGCTTGTCTCTTTTTGACATTTGAGTCACAACATAACAGTCCCCCCTGTTCCAGAATGCAAATGGTAGAACCAGGAAGTAGCCTGCTAGCTAACAAACAAAGATACAAATCTCATACATCTCCACTGTTTTGGTTTTTTTTTTAGCATCATTGGTTTTTCACAGTCCAATTCTATCGACTTGAGTCGAAAGTCGTTCTGAATCACAAATAGAACGATCATCTTCCTGAAAGTTAAAAGAGAAAGTCCACTTTCCCAAATATAAAACAAAATCTTAGTAAGTGAGCATGAAATAAACTGTCCATTTATGGCTTGCAAGCAAAGCATATTGGCACAAGGTAGTGACTGAAAGGTTGTCATGGCATCTCAATTGTTTGATTTTTTTTTTTTCCTATTATCTCCTGGGTGTTTGCAATCAGTTAGAATTGACATAAGGGGTCGTGGGCCTCAAGGACACTTGTTGCCAGGCGGTTTAGCAGGCGTCGCTTGTCAGATAGGTGTCATTTGCCGACTCAAAGGGTCGCTGCCCTCCCTCCTCTTCCTTCTCCTCCTCCTCTTCTGTTTTTCTTTGTATCTCATCTCCGCCGCCCCACTGCCACTATCGCATTCCGATGATGATGATGATGATGGGGGCACGCTCCCCAGGGGGTGGGGCGGGGCAGCAGTCGCAAGGGAATTGGCTGGCGAGAGAGGCCCGAGTGGGGAGTAGCGTCTTAGCGAGACCCCCTTCATGTTAAGTGCCAGATCCAGAATCAGTTTTCGAGAGGATCGAGGGTGGGAGGGACCAGTCAGAAGGGGCGGTGCAGACGCATCACTTGGACCGGGCGCATCCGGAGAGAGCGCCGCCCCCTCTGGGCTGTCACCTGATTGGTAGGATAAAGGAGAAGCGGGGCTCTCAGACACGTTCTCCAGTGGGTCGGCGCCCTCTGAGTGGCCTTGGGAAGGCTGAGCGTCTACGTCACCCCCAGCTGTTCGATAGCAGTGGAGCCCGAGGTTGACGTGGGTGCCGGCTGGTGGGTCCAGAAGTGGGACGTGGCCTCTGGGGCGGGCTCCACGACGGAACAGGCGACGGCAAAGGTGCCCGAAGCGACGCCGCGATGACGACGAGGAAGTGGAAGAGCGGCGGCTTGTGTGACGCCTGAGTTGTCGACTCATGGCTAAGCGAAGGTTCTGCAACACGGAGGCCTGAAAGGGAGGAAGGAGAACCAACCAGAATCTTAGTGAGAAGATTTTCACGTGCCTATACACAGCCAATGACGATTTACATCAATGATAATCAAGAGATGTCATTGACTGAAGCAGACGTTTTTAACTAATTTGTGAGAACTTGAAATGAGCTTCTGCAGAGTTGGAAAACTCAGTTCATTGTACTTAGGTCAGTGTTGTTGACGGCTAACAGTGAGTGACAAGTGAAATGCTAGACCTGAATCATTTGAGTCAACTGTGCTCAAGTTAGCTTAGTTAGCTCAGTTCGTCAGTGAGTTAGCTTCGGCTGACTCGAGGTCTGCGGTGTTTGCGGTGAGGCTGCCAATTAGAGTCAGTGAAACCACACAACTGAATATTTAAGCCTGTAGTGCAGGGGTGTCAAAGTCATTTTTGTCGCGGGCCACATTGTAGTCACGGTTTCCCTGAGAGGGCCATTATGACTGTTCATTTTGTAAAACCGTATAAATGTTTAATAACCTCCACATATTACATATTCAGTGCACAACAAATTGGTGGATAACTAGTTTTGAAATCAGAAGTCATGAATAATGGTTAGTTCAGCCGTTGCTTGCGTGAATGTAATACGTAACAAGATAATGCTTGCAATATCTCTATGTTATGATGGAATACATATGACAATTTGAAATTTTGGTTCAGACTTGAGCAAGCATCATGGAAAAGTTGACATGCTTGATTTGCTCTCGCGGGCCACACAAAATGATATGACGGGCCAGATCTGGCACCCGGGCCTTGAGTTTGACACCTGTGCTGTCGTGTATCTGGCAAATTTGCAAATCTACATCCAACAGCTTCAACTGAGTGTTCTCCGTTTCTGGTGAGACAGCCAACTTTCGTCAGTCACCCAATTACAAAGAATCAACAGAGTTTGTTGTGTTTACAGTTAGCCCGCTAACTGGAGTCAGTGAACCGCTACAAGCAAATCATCCAAGGCCACCGAAGAATCTACAAACTCGACTCAGTTCCAACAATTCAACGGAATCATGGGATTCTGCGGCGTGTCTTCTATCCCGACCGAATAAGAGAACAGAATCAACTGAGTCCCAGGTGCTTGTGTGCGTGGAAGTTACCTGTGTGGGATTGTAGGCGGGGAAGTCCTCCACAGGTGGAATGAGTCCCTGCGCTATGAGCTGCCCGTAGGACGGCGGCGCCTCCCTCTGTACAAACTCGGCTTCCATGCGCGACATCTGCGTCTCGAAGGCTCTGTAGTCGCGGCCGCGCAGGGCGTGCAGCTTGAGGGCGCAGCCGAGCGCCACCACCAACAGGAGGCCGCACACCAGGCTGCCGATCAGCGCCGCCGTGATCACTTTGCGCGGCACCGCGGTGGGGCAGTTACGCTCGTCGCTGCCGTCCGGACAGTCCTCCTGGCCGTCACAGCGCCACGTCTCGAAAATGCAAAGGTTGTCGCCGCAATGGAAGTTGCCCGGCTGGCAGTCGTAGCAGTTGTTCTCGTCAGAACCGTCCGGGCACCTTCGCGATTGCAGTAGTGGGAAAGTAATAAATTACAAGACGCAGACACAGTAGGTATCACAAGTAGACTACCTCTTTTGGTTGTTGCAGCGTTCTGACGGCGGGTAGCAGGGGCCCACTGTGTCCCCGCCGCATGGGAACTCGCCCTCGGGACACGCCGGGCAAGATGCCTCATCCCGACCGGACGGGCAGTGCCAGTATCCATCGCAGCGCTGGCGTTCTGAGTAGCAACCCTGCTCGTTGCCGCAAGGGCGCTCGCCCGGAAAGCAGTAGCCTTTCACCTGCAGGACCAAAGAACAAGTCCGGGGATTACTTGAATGCTTGAATTACAACGAAATGTGGTTTCCTTTGAGACATGGAGATGGAAATATCTGATTGAGCTGAGTTCGTTAGCTTGAGTCGGTAAACTGATTAAATTAAATGATTTGAGTCTGTGGTGTGGTGGATTTCTGTTTGGTCTGCTAACTCAAGTCAGTGCGTTGAATAATTTGGGTCTGCTGTTTTTCTGGTGAGTCGGCTAACTTTAGTCTTCTATGAAAAGCCAGCTTTTATTCTGAAAATTTCTGTGTGAAAGCAACAAATATGGAAAGAAGGGGCGGTTTTTTTAGGGGGGTTGTCAAAGTCGAGATTAGTCCATCAGATCATGGGATAACACAAAAAATGTCTGCCTATTTTTGTTTTAAAATATCATACCCCACCCAAAAAAAAACCTTTTTCAAAGGATATTTTTCACTGTAAAAATGTTTTGACCGATATTTTTTTTCAGTAATGGGGTAAAAAAAAGTATTTTAGGAGGGGTGTTTCCCCCCCTCCAAAGTGCTTTTTGAGGCATATTCATATTTTACCCCCAATTTATGTATAGCGCCCCCCCCCCCATTTTTTCGGGGGGTATACATATTTTTGACACAAACCTTTCTCCTAAACCCCAAAATAAAATAGTTTTGTTGTATTTGTCCCCTATTATTTTGGTGATTTTTTTCCCCCCCAAAAGTTATTTTTCCCCAAAAACATTTTCACGGCATATGTTTACCCAATAATTAAAAACTGTGTTTTCTTTAGGCGGATTTATTCCCCAAAATTATTTTTGCCCACGCCCACCCTTTTTTTCCCCAGACATTATTTCCTCCCATTTTTTTTTAATTAATTTTTTTTTTTTTTTTTACAACCCACCAAACGGTTGTTACCTGGTAGGTGGCATTGAACCCGTGTCCAGGACTTCGCGGTTTTGCCGTGTAGAGGACGCTCATCTGTCCCCGGCTGGACTCCAGCAAGGTGGGCCGACGGTTGTTGTGGTAGGACAGCACCTGCAGGAGGTTTTCGGCCCGGTGGACGGCGCCGTCGTACACGTGCAGCGCGTCCCCGGGCCCAAGCCGGAGGTCCAGCCGCAGGAGGATGGGTTTGGGGTCCCGCGTGTCCACCACCCACGAGCACCGCAGCTCAACCGCCGCCCCCAGAGCGGGGCGGAAGAAATCGGGTGACGCAAAGGAGCCGTAGAAGTGGCCCAGACGTTTCCCGCAGGACGTGTCTGGGCAGCCGAGCTCATCGCTGCCGTCTGGGCAGTCCCGGAAGCGGTCACAGCGCAGAGCGGTGGCCAGGCAGCGGATGGACCGCCCGGCGGCGCAGGGGAGTGTCCCGCGGGGGCACGGGCCCAGGGGGGCGGCACTGGGCGGTGGCGAACAGCCCCGCTCATCAGTAGCGTCGCCGCACTCGTCCTGATCATTACACTTCCAAGAGTGCGGCACGCATTTGCCGTTACCGCACAGAAACTCATCCGGCTGACAGCTGCTCTGACCGAAGTGACCTACGCACCATACAGAAAAAATACAGTCAAAATTTCAAGCAAATTCAGTCCACAAATATCTTGACAATATTTTTTCTCCACATTGAGCCAGATATTTTCCATCCATCCATTTTCTAATCTGCTTATCCTCGCGAGGGTCGCGGGCGTGCTGGAGCCTATCTCGACTGTCTTCAAGCAGTAGGCAGGGGACACCCTGAACTGGTCGCCAGCCAATTGCAGGGCACACATAGACTGACAACCATTCGCGCTCACAATCATGCCCTGCATGATTTTGGAATGTGGAAGGAAACCGGAGTACCCAGAGAAAACCCACACAGGCACGAGGAGAACATGCAAACTCCACATGGGAAGGCAGGGGCCTGGGATCAAACCCGGAACCTGTGCAATGTGAGGCGGATGTGCTAACCACTGTATTTTCCAATAATCATTTTAGGCTTATTTTTTGACAGAATCCACCCACCTCAAAGAAAAAAAAAGATGTATTCTCCCATTGAAGTTCTCCTAGTCATTGTCACAATTTCCCAGCCTAGATGCAGCAGCCAATCATATTGCAGGGGGCGTGTCCTCACTAAAACTCAAGTGGGATTCATAATAACGCTTCACCACATGCTTGTGTGAAGACATCAGTTCCTGTTGAACGACGCCTCGTATTTAAAAGAAAACCTTGTTCGTCGGGTCACTCTGACCTCAAGGCACCACCGTGTATTGTATGATTGACATGTATGTATTCCTAAATATGATCAATTCACCTTTGATGTAGGACATGTGGAAGCCTTGAGCTTGTCCCGAGCTGTTGACTTTCGAATGGAAGTAAAGCCAAGCGCCCCCGGTGCTAGTGATGAAGGGCGGCGGCCGTGCGGAGCCGCACAGACGCTGCGAGTGCGGAGCTCCGCTGCCCCACCCGGAAGACGTCATCAGCAGCCAATCGCCGGACTCGCAGCTCTCCAGTTCGCCAACGTCGAACACCCGAAAACTGAACCGCAGGACGTCAGTGGCATGAAAGTGTGTTTCTGCGAGTGTGCGTGTTCATGCATTACCTCATGGTAATGATCTCTCCGTGGCCCGCCTGGATGTTCCAGCTGCAGTTGAGTCCAGCGGGGTAGTTTAAAGGCCAGGAGGGGCTGAAGATCACGCCCCTCCGCTCCATGTGGACCTCCACCTGATCACCGCAACCTGCTGCATGCATGCACACACAAAAGCACAAACACACGATAAATGTTGAAAAATCATGATTTTTTTTCAACCTTGATATTACTTTAAAAACATAATTTCTATACCGAAAGGGAAGTTAAGTAAAAAATGTTCTCAACAAAAATATGGTCTATGCGATCCCACTCGTTTTACCCACGTTTTACCCAAATAAAATGATTTTGCCATATTCCCCAAATTTCTAGTTGTAAAAAAAACTTACTTATAGTCTCAATAACACAGACATGGTCTGTACCGACACATCATTTGTAACAGGATACATCCAACAAAGTGCCGGTGACGGCACCACACCAACACCGTGCGAACGTGTGAGTGCGTCCTCTCTGCAGTGATGTAATGCTGATATATGCTGCAGCTGCATACCCGCGGTGAAAGGCCAACCCGTGTTTCTACACGCTGACTGATCAGTTACCCACCGCAAATCGATACCAGTGTGGGTACGCGTGTGTGATGACGTCACCAAAACAAAAGCCCACGTCAGTTTTTGGCGAGCATCTGCCAAGGCTAGATAAAAGACCCACCACAAAAGGCATTGCAATTAATGTTTATGAATGATTATATCACATGTATCTTCATATTTGCCATCCATTATTGCATTGCACGGATCAATGTCTCACCTGAACGCAGCACAGCGTTGCAGAGCACCAGCAGCAGCAGCATCCCGAGCCACAACGTCGCCCCCATCGCTCCTATTAGCCGAGTTTGGGCTTCCTATCTCGGCAACGACCGCCACACTCCCCGCGGCGTGACTTCCATCGATTTTCAGCCGAGCGAAGCCAAGATATGAAGTGGTTTTAAAAAGGCATTGTGTGTCCTTTAGCAAGACTACAGACCCAGGGTGACACTCACTGCAACAAAGAAAGCATCCGAATTTTGGCTTCAAATTAAAGCTTATTTTGTTGAGAAGGTGGAAGGGATTGAAGCCACTTTGGCCAATCGTACTGATTAATCAGGTAATTATTAGTGTTGAGTGCTGATGGAGTCCCAGAATGGAGCCATTCGATTATTTAGTACCATTATTCTCTTTTTTTTAGCTCTTATTTTGAAAACGGCATCGTTTGGTTTCTGCTAAAATTATGTGGCTTTTTATGCTAGGTATTCCGCAATCAAACCGAAAAAAGGGTTCATAATTGTTCGAAGTGTGCCAATATCTGAAATATCATGACATCAACCAGATTACATAATGTACATTGACGACGGACGTTCCTTGAAAAAGGGCAATGTTTCCTTCAGAATTGAAATCCGTCCGCTTAAGGTTTTAATAATATTTCGTCTACATCAGTAGTAGTCGTACCAGAAAACGTACGTTTCTTGGGGACGTCAGTTGGAACATGACGTCTGATAAATTATGCATTCATAAAACAAACAAAACCCAATTTAAAAAATAGAAAGAAAAAGGCACCGCTGGGATTCGAACCCAGGATCTCCTGTTTACTAGACAGGCGCTTTAACCAACTAAGCCACGGCGCCAGGTGGATGGGAAAGGAAAATATCCAAACATATTCTTCAATTATCCATCACTGCAAAGTTCCTGACAATTACTTTTCTTTAAAAAAAAGAAAAAACACCCCAATTAAAAATTAATCAAAGTTAAATGTATTTAATAGCTGCATTTTTCTCATAAGTCAAAATATATCACATTTAAAAATTGCAAAGCCACCCTATCAACAAATGTTCTAGAACAATCGTTTTAATTTGTAGTTCCATTAATTTGGAACTCTTTCCTAGGTTGGAAATGTCTCACAAGGGCCAACACTTTCGCAATAATGCTGCAAAACAGCTACATAGATGCTGTTGACCTTTTTTGTGTAGTTTCAAATTTCAAACCTTTCAAAACAAAACTCTTCAATACTAAAAACACTTTGTCAACACAAAAACTAAACCCATAAAAAAACAATTATACAAACTCGAGCTATTTTTGTGGATAAAAATACTAAAAGCAACTACGGAAAAAAACACTATCAAACTAAAAAAATTCAAACTTCATCTCAACCCAAAAACTTTCATTTTCAACCCCAAATTCAAAAGTAACTCTTAAGGGGGAAAGCAACCACATACTTTTAGAACCTGCAAAATAATCCACCTTGGCTAGACAATTGGCTGCGCTTACCAGAACATTCGGTTCCAATTTATATGCATTTAACTAAAAAAAACAAACTGACAAATGACTATAGTACTGATGAACAATTTATTTGTTGCACTCTTAATAAGAATAAGGCGATTACTTGATTCTTCAACAATTTATTCAACTTAAACATTTTTGAAGTGTCTTCACGTGACTGCGGTACAAGTGCCGGAACCAAAAGCGTTTTGTTTTGTTTTTTTTGTTCTTTTTTTTCATGCACATGGTCTCAGCATAAATGCAGGCTATCGTCTTGTTTCTGTTTGTGTGATATTTCGCGCAATATAAGTTTTGTTTTTTAAATCACACACCGCTTTTGAATACAGGCGACAACCAGTTGAAAGATATACACAATCTGGGATTAAAAATATAAAGAACAGGAACAGGAGGATGAGGTGGGGGGGAAAAACAAGTAAAAAGCTACCAAAAGAAACAAAGCTGTTAAAAAAAGAAAAAAAATATCTGAAACATCTTTTGAGAAAACGTCTTGTGTGATTGTGTCCATTTGTTAAATTACTGTAAATTCTATGAAAAACAAAATAAAACAAAAGCAACACTCAAACATGAGACATTCTGTGCCCCAGAGGAGGTAACAGCGGGATGTCTGCAGCCACCTTTTTCTTTTTTAAATAAAGAACAAAGTCTTTTCTTTTTTTTTTTTTTTTTGCCGCCTGCGCCCGCCTTGTCGCAGCCTCCGGGCTACTGGTGGGCGCACTGGACCCCTGGGCCGTGGTGGCCGCCATCTTCGTCAGAGCTGTCGTTGTAGACTTCCCGGCGGCCGCCTGTCGACGAGCCCTGACTCACATCGTAGTCCTGAAGGTCCACCTCCTCCGTGTCGCCCGTGATGAGCGGCGCCTCCGACCGCGACGGAAGCATGTCCTCCAGCTCCTGGAAGACAACGTGACACGTTTGCGTGTTGAGTGTTCACAATGACACATGAAGCAACCAATGTCAACTCTTGGCAAGATTGAGAAAACTGAATTGAAGGATTGAAAAATAATAATCATACAATAATAACAATGAGTTAGGCTTAGCAACGTGGATTTTTACCCCCTGAAACCTCATGGCTATAAATTACAACTCATGGTAAAATCCATATTGCGAAAGCTTTTATTGGTCAAACTTCACGGCAAGGAAAAAAAAAATCTGTTTTTTAATATCAGCATCAAAAATGCATTTAGGGACAAAAGGCCAACTGCGATTCAAATTTGGTGCTGACTCGTGTTTCATAACATTTCTAATACAGGAAGAAAATTTTCATTTTCATTTGAAATAACTCTTCACATAAAAAAAAAAAAGGGAACCGAAGTAAACTTTTTTTAACTTAAGATGTGGAAAAAAAACCCTTCAACTGTTGAAGAAAAATATTTTTAAAAAGGTACAGAGGCAACACAGCAAACTTTTTAAAAATAAATATTCAATAATTCAAAAAAAAAAAAAACAAAACACTATTTTTAAAACAGGCAATAAAAGGAACTTAAGTAACGGAAGGGATTTCAAATTATTTAAATTGGAATAAAAAGAAAACAAACGTTTTACATTTGTTTTTATAAATAAATAAAGAGAATAAATGAATAAAAGAGCGCTACCGCTAGTTTCTCAGGGCTGATCCAGTTGCTGGCAGGGAACTGCACGTCGAACTTGACGTACAGGTCTCCCTTCTCAAAGGGGTTACGGTACTGTGGCATGCCCTCCCCTCGCACCACCCTCACCGAGCCTAAAAACAAACGACAAACAGGGCGACGGTGAACCTCAACTTCCTCTACGCCGCCGGACAACTTTGGTGCACAGGAGTGGAGGGGGAGACGCTACCCGGCTCGATGACTTTGCCGGCGGGATGCTTGACCACGATCTGTCGGCCGTCTAAATGTTTCAGCATGAACTGGAAGCCGCACAGCGCCTCCACCAGGCCGATCTTGTGGTTCATGAACAGGTCGTTGCCATCTCGACGGAATGTCTGCACGCAGAGAAACAAACAAGAACAACGATGAAACAGCCAGTAAAGGGGTGTCCAGAAAAATGGAAGGATGAAAGGAGCACTTTTTTTGAAACATGCTAAAGTCGGTCAAGAAAGCAATTTCACATTGTATTGTCTCGTTGATTTCATCGGCTTTCTGGTCAAAGTGTTAACCCACCCATCTCATAGAGTAGATTCAACGCTGCACTTAACAGCGGTTGAATCCCATCAAATTGAATCATCTTCATTCATGACAGTGTTTTGAAGAGAAATGATATTGATTTTTTCCTACTTGTAAAAAGAAGACAAACTACGATCGTGTTACTAACCTAACGTACGCGACATGAAAGCTGCCACTCGTTCAGCCTGCTGTTCTCGTCGAGCAGCTTTTGTCTCGTTCGAGGGGACAAAAGTGACGAGGTGAAACAAAATGTCACTACAAGCTTCTGATGGTAGGCACATGTATGCTCCATTCTTCAACGTCTTCTACTGCGGAAAATCTTTTGATTTATTGGAACAAGACTTTCTCTCTCTCACACTCATTTTTTTTCAACGCCCCATACTGTTCGTTTTGAGTACTACATGTAACAAGTTCAAATGGCCTGGCCCGACTTTTTGACAATTTGGAGGGATATTATGCGCCACACATAAATAATGGGAGCCAGGTCTGCGGGGCAGGCAGGCCAATCCAGCACTCGCACTTTATTGTGAAGCTGTTTTAACGGATGCAGAATGTGGGTTGGCATTGTCTTGAAGTTCGCATTGCTTGGATGGCAGCATGTTTCTCCAAAACCTGAACGGATCTTTCAGCATGAATGGTGCCCTCACAGAAATGTAAAAGTTACCCACGCCATTGGTACTAACACAGCAGCATAGCATTGCAGATGCTGCCTTTTGAACTTTGCGTCCATAACAGTCTGGGATGATACTTTTCCTCTTTTGCCAGGACACGACATCCAAAATGTCCCAAAACTATTTTAACTGTGGACTCGTCGACGAACTCACACTCAGAGAAGCCGGCTGCGTTTCTGGGTGTTGTTGAGAAATGGCTTTTGCTTTGCATCGTAGGGTCTTAACTTGCACTTACAGATGTAGTACATAACTTTGCATTTACTGACATGGATTAACTAACAAGCAACCAATTGACAAATTCATCGCTCATCATTTCTGACCCTCAATGAATCCGTTAGATATGTTTTCTAATTCAAAACTTCGCAACTGCTCAAAATGTCAGCTTCTCGAGAGTAAAATATCCGGTTTCTTTACACTTTGCCCTAATGGCCGCCGAGTGATGCATTTTTCAATGATTACAACCCCCCCCCAAAAAACAGGTTTGCTGCTATGAATAAAGTATGAAAAACTCCCCAAGATGCGCACCCACCTCGTGCTCTTTCTCCTGTAGCACCAGGACGATGTCGCCCGGCTCTACACCCGGCGCCTGATCCGCCTCACCGCCAAAGGTGATCTTCTGGCCGTGCTTCATGCCCTTGTCCACGTGCACCTCCAGGATCTTCACCTCCTTCACCACCTTCTTGCCTTCGCACTTTTTACAGCGGTCCTTCTCGCTGATCACCTCGCCTGAGAGGGTGGAATCGCCGGGAATCGGTTAAAAACACTCATTGGCTGTGGAGGGGCTCTTGATTCTTAGTTGGAGGCCACTATTCGGTGTAATTCATCCATAGTAGCGAGAAGAAATGAAACGCACCTTCTCCATTGCAGTCCGTGCACACGGACTGCATCTGTTGCAACATGCCCGGTGCCAGCTGTCTGATCACG